CCTAGCTACATTTTGGTTGGCGTTGACAGAAAACGTGTAGAAGCTCAGAACCAATAGAAGTATGTGTCTCGCGTGGGTGAAGCCAGCCTATGTAATTCAGTTCATGTAAACCACTTTCTTCACTAGAACAGTTGTAGAAGTTTTGTCATCAAGGTTTTCTTCCTCAATGTTACGAATAAATTCATTTAGGCAGCTACTGCCTCAATGGTGGTCGGTGTGTACGTGGATTGTCGACAAACCATTGCGAATGTGTTGGCAATTTCACTGGTACGCACTGTGAACGTAGTACTGTCATCCCAGTTCAAGGACCTTGTGATTCGAACCCATGTCTTAATGGAGGTGAGTTCACATTTGACGATTTTACAGCACGCAGTAGCTTCATCATGCGCTTGTGAGGGCCAGATGACTGACCGAGGCGCTTCTTTTGCAGCAGTTTGTGATTGTACCATTTGGGATGTGGTAGTCCGCCATGGAAAGTTCATTTCACAACATGAACATGAAATTTTGACATTGGTCAAGTCAGAATTCAGACGGAGCTATTTTCTAATGGATAGGCTGCTCTTACGCGAAATGTCGCTTGCGTCTGTCTGCTTTCGCTAGCGCATTCACGAATCCGCAGAGTTTGGTCATTTCGCCAAGAATTCAAGAGGTACGAGCTATGCGCCAGCCAGTCAGTGGCCAAATCCGCTGGTGCATCACTCGTGCCCCTCGAATTGCGGCGATTCGCTAGCGAAGCCACGGGTTTGTAAAGTCTGACACCAACCGGCCATAGGTGAGCCGACGTTGACTGGATTTCGTATCGCCCGAACGCGCAGCACAACTTGCCGCTTTTCTCGCCTGCTGGGCCAGGGTCAGCCTTCATGTTAGGAAATGTTGGAATCTACGATCCCTCCCTCTCGCGGCGTCTTCCGTGCGACCCTGTACGCCACCATCTTCACCACATGACTACTTTTGCGGCTCCACAGCATTTGATTTTGAGACCAGGTGACGCATCCCCCTTCCCCCTCCTTACCCCCGCCATCACCCCTCTTCAACATGTCTGCAAAATTTCTGCAGAAACTGCTGTCAAGATGATAGGGTCCTTTTAGCAAAGTCTATATTTCCGTCCACTCCTTGCCATTTCTAAGAAAGTTATGGGAAGAAAGCAAACCTTATCTCCAAAGTAACTGTACTCTCATTCAGAGACACCTCCTTCAACTCCCACCGATACGATTTTGAAACTCTAGGATAGGTTGAACCTTTGGAACCTTAATTATGACCCTCCCTCCCTCTAGAAGTCACAAATACGACCCGTGTTGGTGAATTATTAAGGGCGGTTGGTTCTGTTTTGTATTCTACACCCGTCGTATAACTTCGTGTAGTGTTATGCGTATTTGAAAATGTGGAAGTATGTCAGATCTCGAAAAAAAAAAGTAAAAAAACAGGAGCTTTATGAAACAGTGAAATGGGTCTTTCATCTGATGGAGTTGTGCGTTTCATTAAAAAGTTATAATATGAGCTTCAACTGAAGTCTTTAGGTATTTGCCATGTTGACGGTAATGTCGCTACCTGTGAGTGTCCGCCAGGGTTCACTGGTGCGAACTGTTCGAGCAAAATGTAACACTTCTTCTCGTGTACGAAATCCATGCCAAAATGGTGGTACCTGTCAAGCTATAGGAGGTAATAATTTAAGCACATCGTCAAAGTTTCACACATTTGGCGTTCCATCTAGGAAGCAAGCGTTTCACCTACTGATTCGGTTCACCTCCATGGTTGGTAAATACTGTATCACTGCTCTAACTAACGCTCTTCCAGTAACTCTCAAAGCCCACATTGATTGATTTTAGACCCGTTGGAGGACGGATTTCTATGCAGCTGTCGGGTTGGATTTGAAGGAAACCTGTGTGAACATGTGGTAATAGCATTTTACTTGAAGCAAGATTGCACTCGATTGCCCAAACTAATCCAGTTTATTCAAGACCACCGAATGGCATCTTCTGTGGAGGAGGTAACTCTACTGTCAACGGCCTCATTAGCCGTCTCGCCAACGACGACAATCCCAACTACATCCGCCAGGGAGTCGCACACGCGTGAGTCGTACGAAAAGAGATGTGTGAGAAGAGTCGAAATATAGGTCTACGGTGGGGAGTTGGTTCCAAGTTCTTCAGATATCCGCTTCATATTCTGCTTTTTCTTCACACTTCACTACAAATATCGTTACTGGCATTGTGTAAAACCAATCAGAGACGCGCGCGTCTTCGATGAGTTTGTGCCTCGCACAGGACGCCCCTACCTGCACAGCGAAGGGCTGCAGACGTCGCAGCGCGTTGTCCAGGCTACCCCTGCGTTGATACAAATGGGCCGTAGAATACGAAAAAACGATTTCTCAGCACTTTGACTTTCTACCACCGTAATCCACGTTGATAGTGGAGCGCGCTGTTGAGCACTGCGGCGCGCAATTGAGCCGGAGCACTAGCTCAGGCATCCTTCAAATACCCTCAATCGAGTACTGTTTATCACATACTACGGAACTACCTGAGAGCAGGGTGAATAACGGTCGAGAAATCCTCGACCATGGCTCTATACTGTGCGAGAGTAGTGTCGAGAGTGAATGTGCGGAGAGCACAGACGGCTCGCGCGTGGCGAGAGTGAATGTCCGCGCGGGAGAGCGTGACTGACAGGCGAAAATCCTCGACGAGTCGTCGACAAATCCTCGACCGATTTTCACCCTGCCCTGGTGCAGCCCTTCAAAACTCTTGCAGCGTTCGAGTGCGCGTGCTCTGCACTCCCCAAAAAGTTGATTACTCCGCCTCGCGGTGTAATCAATTTTTTGCCATATCCACCTTCTACAGCTAAGCTTTCCGTAAAATTGGCTCCCATTTTCTCGTCATGGAATGCGCAGAGGAACGACAAGAGGGCATGCCGAAAACAAGTCGATGACTTAAGGCGTAACGCGCCTTACTTTGGTTACTGTGGATCCTATTCAACGTGCTGAGAAACCGTTTTACCGTAGAAGACAAGATAGGGTAGGCTGTGGACAGCGCAGAGTACACAACGCGCCCATGATTCTTCTAGGTCTCCGATTCCACATCGCTCGGTAAGGTTCCCTGTCTGGATACCCCTACCTATCCTCAACGCTAAATATCGTTAGAGAATGATTGAATTTTTTTGTGGGTGGAGGAACTTTTCTTGAAGAATTTTCTTTTAGCTTGGCTGTGATTCGTGTGTTCACTCGGATAAATGTGTTGAATCACCTTCTGGAGCGCTATGCGTCTGTCAATCGGGATATCACGGCCTTCGCTGTGATCAACCAGGAGATGTATGAGTTATATCCGTTTGACCTTCTTGATATACACCTAATTGTTCAGATTACCACGGCTGTGTCAGAAATTTGAGAAGGTTTGTTTCAGCCCTGTGATGCTGTGTCCTGCATTCGTCCACTGGTTTGTCAGCCGCTCATTGCTGCCGGCGGAACTCAGACCACATGCAAATGTCCCATAGGATGGACCGGACCAAAGTGCCTTCAGAACACTGCTGTGTCATTCAACGAAAGCAGTCTATTCATTCATCAGAGTCCTAGCGTCATGATAGGGTAATTTTTAGAATTATGTAATATGTAGGCATTGCAGAACAGAAGAGCATACACAGTCGCGCGCTTACGCGGTGCGGCTTGCAAGTTACCAGCTTGATGGCGGTGCATACATTGTTGATTACCTGACATATGTAGGCGGTACTTCTATCGTGCGCGGATTCACGAATGGCACAATTTTTGGTATAATCACGCTATTTTAAACCTAAAATTCAAGTTTTTTCTCTTCTGCGAATTAACCTAGAAAATTCATCCAGCGCCACGAAGAATATTCATATCTTGCCGCTGGCTCGCATTCGCACCAATTTTTCACCACAACTTTTTCCCACCGGATTTGTTCAGAATTACGAATAGAGGCGATTCAGTGTCTTGACTACGATGATAGCATTCATTTTGGAGCTTGAGGCAAGTTTTGTGACGAGTTGGTGTCATATGCGTCCAGCGTCAAAAATGGGTGTTACATTCATAGGCAAGTACTCAATTGCCTCCAGCATCAGGATCACTTTGGTTGGAAGTTCGCAAACATTTTCGGGTCTTGGGCATCCTTTCTCTTTAATCCAAAGCATCAGAATTCCTGGTATTCACAAATTTTCTTCAGGTCTTTCCTCCGGCCCTCTGCCTACGCCCTGTCTTTTGCAATGCGGACCACTGCTCCTACCGTGCACATCGCATCTGGCGAGAACATTTTTGGACAACAGTGATTTCTATTAGGTCTATTGAGTGAGAGGACAATTGTGGTTTAGCCGGTCCATGGTACCAACTTTCAAACACGCTCATGTCCCTTTAGCATCACGCTGTGCAGCTGGTATTCCTTGAGGCTTGAGAAAAGTGATCAGGTTCGTGTGTTTTTCATATCTATTAAGTGTTTGGCAATATGTTCATCTTTACGTCTAATTACCGAAACTTAAGAGTGGACGTATTTTGAATCCTTCCTTCTGTCTACTTGTTGACCCGGTTTAAGTATTGGGTGGTTACTTTAATTCGTGTTACAGGTAGTCAGTGACAGTAAGTGGATTCTATGTTTTGCGGGAAACTGTTCTATCTGATAGTTTCAACATTGCTCCTCAACATGTAATGGTTTCCCTGCCATTGCTTGTAATTTGTTCATTGATTACACACGTTGGAAATGGAGCACTCAAAGGAATCCTCCTTAGAAGAGTAATGATACTATCTCACCCATAGATCGCTTGAGACCTATTCAGGAATGATAAGAATCACACTAATAAAAACAAAAAGAACAAATAAGTTGCGTTTGTTTTGGTAAACAATTCGAAAAACCGGAAGGGACTGCTACGCGTTCAAATTCCCGCCGGACATCTGTCACAAATGCTGGCGACGGGAACGCTTCCACTTGGTTCTCGGAGTGCCGTCACTAGAAACTCTTTCTGGCCTTTTGACTTTGCATTCACATCTCACACTTCTACTCCATCCTATTCTATCGATCGATTTGTCTCTACTCTCCGAAATCGCGCGCTTTAACCCGATTCTTTCATTGCGTCGCCTGATACGTAGCCGCCCCAAGCCGACTTCTTTCCATGCGCTTGTGTGTGCCCGTCCTATCTTCGTTCGACCGCTCATAGAGTGATGTTTATGTAAACTGGTTTCTTTTGAAACCGATCTTATGCGTGTAACTTGGTATATTGTATCTGTGATCACATCTGACATATTCGTGTTGGGAAAGAAGGCAAAAATTCTCCGAGGAGGATTCCTCCAGAACATCTTTTGACCGTCATCCTTCTGCTGTTTACTTTAAAGAAGTCGGTTTATCAGACCTATAACTTCTGCTGAGCCTTAGGATGATCAGATCAGATCGATCGGATTCCATTTGTAGATATGACTCAACAATTTAGAAAAAGTGATTTAGATGTCACATTCAGAAACGCCCCGATCTTCCAAAAAATTCCATTTCGATAACTCGCAAGTATTGTATTGCTTGTGGAGCTTACAGATGAGTTAGAATATCCTGAAGTGGTATTTCGAAAGGTATATATTCAGTGACAATGACTTAAAAGGGAGGAATGGTCGCAAAGAACCTGATGATGTATGCAAGAACCATTTATCCGCAGCTTAGTCAACGGACATACTGTCCTCTGCTTACCACTTTACCAGATCCATGCAGCGCAACCTAGCCTGACAGAGGAATTCGTAAATCTCGTGGGGTGCAAAAAGTAGGGTTGAGCTCTTCGAACTTGAATTCTTGAGCCTGGATACAAGACCAGAGAGCCAAAAAAATGGGAGAAGGGGGAAATGGAAATGGTGGGTAATACACTTCGATTGAATATTCAGTTTTTTACAAAAAAGATTCTCATGTTATATATGTCACACCTTAAGAAAACATTTGAGCTCATTTCAGGATGTGCTCATCTCTGTGATCAACGAAGCTGGTTATCAATTACTATCGCGTTCGCTGCCTCGTCTGACATCCTTCGATGTGTTCGCGACTCGAGTTGGGAAGATTGGCGATTCCGAGAGTTCTTTGCTGGCTGTCTGGCGGACTTCAGCCTTGACGATAGTAATGCTATTGACCTCGCCATGTCCAGCAGAGGCACTGGAATCATGCAATGGTTAGCCCACATAATCATTGTGATGGTTTTTTGTGTTCACTTCATTCAGCACTGCATTTGTCAAAATGGGTAGCTTTGTGTTCCCTGTGGGGTTAAAGTGCGCGAGGCAGGTGCAGGGTCAAAACCAGCTATATTGACCGAGTATTGGACGCGCGACGTTGGACCGCGATAGTTGACCGCTACGTGCTCCGCGGCCCGAGCATTACACTCTCTGCAACCAACGCGAGCCGTTGCGATCTACTCGTGCGTACGTCACAGTCTACGCATTACTATCTCGACGCTCGCGACGACTTGCGACTTTAGTCTAAATCGGTACCAGGTTGACCCTAGGGCAGATGATCGGACTAAGACCGGCGGTATTCTATGGGCTTGTTGCGAGAAGTAACTGTCCTATAAAGATCAGAAGATGCGGCTCAAGGAAGTGGAGCTCACTGTTTTGACTGATCCGTTAAGCCACTCAATTGTGTTCAAAAGCGTCTGGATTGAATTTAAAGTTATTTTGTTAGACAGGAAGTACGATGAGGAACGTAGGTGGAGGAGAAAAAGCAAAAAAAGAGCGCAACAGCAAAATAAGTAAAATGGAAATCGTTGCGAGGTTCGGACCGTGTGGTATAAGACAGAGAGACCCAATCTCAAGGCGAGAGAAAACGCGAGAGAAAGTTCGTCGAGGCCTGGAGAAGGGCCGCAAACGCGCCGTATGCCGCGATTGCACTAGAAGAATGACAGCGAGCCTCAGTCACAGCAGGCGCGGCAAACTTGGATCTGGGTTTCTTGCCGAAGATGGAGCGATTAGTCGCTTGAAAGCTGCAAACACTATGAGAATCTTTCAAGACAGCTGTGCAATGCATGAAGTGGCAAATGCTGCGAAATCCGTTCTACTAATTGAGCTCATGCCTTGATTCTGGACGCACCTGCTCATAAAGCGTGTGCACGCACCACACGTTTCTCCCACCGTTGTGTATGCACTCGCTTCCGCCAAGTACATTTGGCCATCACAACAAAACGTCATTTGCTGAAATAACGTTCGTTTATTTTGAATTTCAAGGTTCACTGTTGGCGGATTTGCAAACGGGAGCTAACCAGTAGCTACCTTTATAGTCACAAAAGAAAGGCACGTTTTAGTGATTCATCCCATAAGTAAAGACCGTTTTGCTACTTCATGAATTTTTCAACAATATTTCACAAATATCAATGTTTTCTTTGTCTACACAAAGAGCTCAGAAAAAGAAGAGGCTGGGAAAGACGCACGCCCGTGACCCAAAATGTCCGCAATCAAGGGCTTCTTGAAGGACTAGAGTTGTGACGTGACGCGACTCGATCTCCTCTGCCAACATTTTGTTATCGAATTTCCTCATTGAAGTGCCAACCAGCTCTCCAAAGAACTTTCCCAGCAAGTCCAGAAAACCTTTCAGTACCATCAGTACTGCTTCTCAGTTCTATGTTCTGGAGGCGGAACTTCTGGCACTGGGCTTGCTTTGAATAGCACCTATCGTGCCCATTATAATTTGTTTCCTCGACGCTGCTTCCTTTTCTGAACTTCAAAAGAAAAATGCCAAAAATGCCTTTCTGCCCCTTCCTTTCAAATCCTTTCAATTACAGCTCAAATTTTGATTGAAAAGGGAGAAAGAATTTTCTCAATGCTGCCACGAAGCAATCTGGATACAGGTGTTCGTCCAGCACTTTATGCTCGTTTAAAGGCACCATAGCAACGGAGACAAATTCTGCTTTAAATCTGCCTCGCTCTGGTAAAGGGAGAGTAGTGAATGGTTACAGTGGACGGAAAGAGGATGAGAAATTTATTCCTTTTTCCAGCATGCCTCCAGAGTATTCGCAAAACTTGCGGTTTTCCACTGTGATCCAGTTCATAATGCGGTCGAATCAACCAAATGGCACCGTGTTGTTTCTTGGAGAGACAGGAGACGAACTGGCTACCTTCATATCCATTTCATTGATTGATGGACACGTTGTAGGTGAGTGGTGTTCAATAAGCTTATTAATGGAAGTGATCACGCTGGCTCTGAGGTGGAGAAGAGCTCCATACGTCGTTGATGGAAGGAGTCGTGATAGAGCTGAAACGGGTTAGACGAGTTAAAGCTTATCAAGGCAAGCTCTCGATATCAGCGGAATGGAGATCGAACGAGAACGATAAGCCTTTGACGTCAACCACACAGCTGTTGCAGCGCCTTCCACGTCCGAAACCTAAGTGGTGTAGCGTACCTGGATAGCCTAGGTAGTGTTCCTGATCTTCGACCGTTGGCGTAGTTCGGAACTCCGGATTCCCCTCTGCACTTGCGTGTATAGGGTTACTCCTAGCATCGTCCTCTCGACAGCGCGTTGGATAACGCTGACCGCATGCTCGTCCTGCCTGCGCAGAGTCCAAGTCTCTGAGGCGTAGGTTAGGGCAGGAAGGACAGCGGAATCGAAGAGGTGGGCACGGAGCCGGATGTTCTTCGTCTTCTTCACTACTCCCTCGATGTTCTTATACGCTCCCCAAGCCGCTCGTTTCCTCCTGCTCAGCTCTGGAGCTAGATCGTTCATCATATTGATTTCCCGACCTAGGTACACGTAGCTGGAGCATTCGGTGATGTTCGTTCCGTTGAGCGTGAATGGGGCATCAGGAACCAATCCTTTTTGACACACGCACTGCTTCTCCCCATTCTTGGCTCGGCGTCCCGTGGCATTCTAAGAACACATATCTCTTTATATAGAACAGGGAGTGGAGGTGGAGCTTCGGCGTGGTAAGAGGTAGCTTTTTTATCACGCGATCGGCTCAGGGGTCGAAACCTACCGAGAGCGCTGGCGCCGTTGAGGCCTTCTAGGGCTAAACTTGGGAGGGGCAGGAACTCGGAGGTAAACGAAAATTGCTCATGTATCCTGGATTCTGCGGCACAGTCCCAATTTTGTCGAGAAGGGGATGTTCACGCGGTTTGAAATGTTTTGCCTCCACAATGCCGCGCATCTTGCGATAGCGCCCTACTGAGGACAACTAGACCTTCCATCACTTCAGGGTCGTCTATTTGGTAAAGATTTCCTCTCTGAGTAATAAAGCCTTGACTCCTATATTGAGTGTCCATCACAATTCACGAGACCGAATCCAATTTTAATGCCATAATTTTTCATCTTTTATCGCTAGAACAAGCGGCCTGCCATGGTCGTTATCCGTATTCAAGGTGTTTGGGTATTTACAGTTCGCTCTCGCACTGGAGGTAAATCTGTCCATGAGCTGAGGTCACACAGGGTGGTCACCGACAATAAGGACCACGTTATACGGGTGCGACGTCAACGGCGACAAGTAAAGGCAAGTGAACCATTGAGATTTTGTAGAGGGGTTATGATAGAAAAAATTTCAGCTCGAAATTGATGAAGTCCTCGATTCAGAAGGAACCATA